CTATTGAAACTCCAATCTACAGACACGTGTGCATGACGTATGTATGTAAGATCATGAATCATTAGGCTTCTCTTTTATTTATATTATTTAATTTTTCTGGATTTTTTCCTCAATCAATGGAATACCTACTGAAGGAGGACTTGAGTCAATAGGTCGCAGAAGGGTTACCTGATTTCTTGTTAAGCAAATTAAGCAATTGTTGGGAAACTTTAATTGGTACATCCTCAGTAAATCTATATGATTCATCTCAAGAATTCACAGAAGATATATACTTAAATAAACTATATAAAAGAAGTTATATTTTGTGATGTACATGCCTTCTTAGTTATTACAATTCGAACACACATGAATATCAAGGCGTAGAATGTATTAGTGGATATGTAACTTTACGAAAAAGAAATATATCAATTCCACTATTTGGTCTAAATGATGGAAGACATGTTTAAGTATCAAACATAATCTCATTTTTTTTGTACTATTTAACTCATTCGATAGATTATGATAAATTGACTGAATCTCTCTCTATATTTCCTTAGACCATGGATCTCTCTATACGTTGCCCTTCTTTCCCTTAAGAACTCAGAACCGCATTTCTACTTGATAGATCTCTTTTTCTTCTTACATTTTGAAAATTTGTAGCATTCATCATATTTAACTCACTCATCTTTGCTACGCAACTCTTTAGGATTCAAAGTTGCCTTAACTTCAATAAACATTTCTAATAATCCCCGGCCCTCATCGAAAACATCATTTACATGTCCATAATCTATAACCAAAATAATTTTGAAAATCTATTTTCCTATTTTCACTTATGAATAAAAATATAACATGCTATTGATTGAAACGAATAAAATAACATCTTTTAACGATGACCATGAGCACATTAAGAGTTTTGGGGGGGAAAAATCAAATTAACAAGATTAAAATAAAATAAAAAAGATCATGAATGAAAATATAAGTATAACGTATGAATCTAAATGTATTGAAATATTAGAAAATGTTAGATTTTATTGAAAAATAATATCAATATACTTCAAATAACTTAGATATTTCCAGTATCTATTTAATTGATTTTATCGAATATATATCGAAAAACAACACAATTTTTTTTAAATAAAAAAAAATCTTATAAATATACTACAAGACGTACAACGCACGTCCACCTCCCAAGTATATATATATATATATATATATATATATATATACACACACACACACACACACACACACACATCAATTCTCATTTGGTTTCATATAAAGTCGTGATTATACTAGAAAGGCCTTTAACCTCTTTTATTCGCATTTTTTAGAATTGGTTTTTGTCGTGTTGGTGGTGGTTCATCAAAGCCTTGGTCACAACACTCGACCGCTTTGATAGCTTTTGACTTTACGCTTGTTGGGATGTACATGTGAAGCCCAGTATTCAATGAAAATTCCCAAGATGTTCTAGATTAGTCGGTTTTAATTTTATTAACATGCTTTGATTAGATTCGTTTAAAGTGGAATAAATCTAATCTAGCAACTTACAGTTTTCGCGAGCAGATTCGTTTCTATCTCCGGCGCACGCACGAGGATCCACGTCAAGCCTTCAATCCTCGAAAAACTGTTGTCCAGAAATTTCCGACCATCTTCCTTCACCGATATCTCCGTGATGGTTGATCTGATTAAGAAACCCTTCGGACTAATTATACTTCTATGGGTTAGGAAGCTACTGTATGAATTTCAATCCAATTGGACAAATGGTTGATGTATGGTGAATTTCTTCGCAGGACTGCTCAGAAATTTCGGGAATAATAGTTTGCACTAAAAAACCTATAGTCTTCTATTGTATATCCAGGATTAATAATTCTTCTACAAGGGTGGACTTGTATTTGAAGAAATAATTCTTCTACAAGGGTGGACTTGTATTTGAAGAAATCTAAACCTATAATCGAGAAACTTAGAGAGAAAAGAAAAAGAGAAAAATATTTATCTCCAACGTTGAATTAGGCGTGTGGAATTATTGTTCTCTCATCAACCCAATCTCTATTATATATAACATAAGGAATTAGAGTCACACATAGAGAGGATTACATGGAAACAAATCTCACTCCTTCTATAACTCTATATAGTCGAAAATTGCAATCCAGTGGGGACTTAATTTTGGGCTATTTTAATTCCAATATATAATATTGGTTGAACTTTATTTTCTCGATTAATTAGAAAAATCATTGGGCTACAATAGGGACTAAATGAGAAAATATAAATCCGGCACCTAATAATTAACTAAATCCAAACTCTTAAAAGAATTCATTTAATTAATCATTAAATAATTATTTATTTTCCACTACCAAATATTTATTGAACTCCCGTTTATATTCTCAAATATTACATTCGAGCTCCGGTCGATCATTACTTAGATTCTCCCCACATTAAGAAATCTTATAACCACCAAATTAACCAATTTTGACCATAATTTCAATTCGACTCCAATTTTGACCCGCCACCATCGGAGACCGTTGGTCAGCCGGCGTTGACCTTTTTTTTTTTTCTTAAAAAAAAATTATTTTCACTAATACTATGTCTTGGCCGCTAAATTACTGTCTCCAACAGTAATTTAACTGTTGGAGACATTTATTTAACTGTTAATTGATTTTTTTTTTCTTAAAACAATTATTTTAATTAATATTTCTCTGTCTTGGCTGCAAAATTACTGTCTCCAACAGTAATTTAACTGTTAATTTACCTTTTCTTTTTTTTTGAATTTTTTTTTTCTTAAAAAAAATGATTTTAATTAATATTACTGTCTTGGCTGCTAATTTACTGTCTCCAACAGTAATTTAACTGTCTGAGATAGTAATATTACTGTCTGAGACAGTAATTTTACTATATTAATTAATTTTATCGTGTTGGCCTGCAATTTTGCTGTCTTCGACCGTAATACGTCGGTCTCCGACCGTAATATTACTGTCTCATGCAATAATATTACTATTTGGGACAGTAATATTAGTAATTTAACTGTCTCAGATAGTAATATTACTGTCTGAGACAGTAATTTTACTGTATTAATTCATTTTATCGTGTTGGCCTGCAATTTTGCTGTCTTCGACCGTAATACTACTGTCTTCGATCGTAATATTACTGTCTCATGCAATAATATTACTATTTGGGACAGTAAGATTAGTAATATTACTGTTCGGGAAAGTAATATTCATAATATTACTGCCCAAACAGTAATATTACTGTCTGAGACAGTAATTTAGCAGCCAAAACAGTAATATTAATTAAAATAATTTTTTTAAGAAAAAAAATTCAAAAAAAAAAAGTAAACGGCGATTGACCGGTCGGAAAATTTTTTTAGAAAGAAATTTCAAAAAAAAAAGTCAATGCCGGAGAACCGTCCGGTCAACGCCGGAATCTGGCCAAAAAAAAAATCAGAAAAAATTATTTTCTGAAAAAAAAAAATCAACAAATTATTAAAATGGGGGTTGATGTGATACATTTGTTTAAATCCTGAGTCAATATGTAATATTCAGGAAGTTAGAGTATAATGGATGGAATTGATTAAAAATACATTATGGAGGTATTTTAGACTAAAGACATGAGGATGGATTTAGTTGAAAAAATGTTTTCTGTGTGAACCAATGTGTATTTAAATCTCTTGTCATGTCCCTCTTTACCATTTGTCCAAGTATTTATAATATTTAATATTATTATAAGTTGTATGTATCTTATACATATTTTATGAAATACATATTTTATGAAATATGATTAGATAAAATGCAACGTCGGGGGAATTTAGTGGCTATGAACACAATTAAAATTAAAATAAGTTACTAATATTGAAAGTGATATATAATAATTTATAAATAATATTATAAATCAAAAAGTAATGTTATATCAAATATTACAACAATCCTCTTAAAACCTTTAAATTTGCAATAGTGAAAAAAGTTCAGAAAATTTCAGTTTAGGGGTTAATGTGTAAGTTTTGAATATATATCTTTATTTTAACAGAAATTACAAAATTTGAGGACTAAGTTGAAACTTATGAAAACTTAAGCCGACTCTAATCAGATCTGTATTCTTGCAAATTGCAATTGACCCCAACCCTGGTTCAGGTTCTTAATCATAGCATACCAAAGTTTTGAACATCTTTTAACATTTGAAAGTTATGTTCTTAATCATAGCATAAATTGGGATAATATAGAAAATTTATAAAATATCTGCTTATCAAATGATTTATATGCTTGATTTTCTTGTAAATAGGCTAGCACAACGAGTTAATATAGTATTAAGATTATTTAATTATTAATCTAGATAGGGCTAAATACACTTTGCACCCATGAAGTATAGCATATGTAACACTTACCCCTAAAAGTATTATTTGTAACACTTACCTCCATCAACATCAAATATTTTATATCTTAAACTTAAAATCATTATAAACATAACAAATCTAATAATTATGGATCATAAAATTTGAAAAGTAACTAAAATTAAATTATAGGAAAACGAAAAAAAAAAGTAATATATATTGTATAACAATGAATGAAAATATATTTTAAAAAATTAATGAACTAAAATAAATTTAAATACTTAAGATTACTATTATTTACGTATTGATTTCTTAAAATTTATCGATATGAATATATTCGATTAATTGGTTCGATAACAGTTAGATGTTATTTATTAAATTTGTACCCAACAGTACAAGATAATATTTTTTTTTTAATTTTAAAATATTGCATTTTTCAACAGATATTTTTAGTTGTATAATTTAATTATTCTTTTAGTTATTATTTAAATTTTTTTTTAAGGTATTAGGATTTAAAATACAAATTGAATTGAGGGGTAAGTGTTACAAATAATACTTTAGAAAACAAGTGTTACAGAAGGTATACATTAGGTGTAAACTTTATTTAACCCATCTAGATAATACAGAAATGAAATTATTTAATTATTCAATTATGATATGTTATGTAACCCCAGTTTCTCTTTTGTTGTATGGTAGCAAAAAAATGATGAGCGGCATGGTGTCTCTTTGTAGAAGACTAAGTATTAAGGATCTCGTTGCAAATTCACCCGTTTATACTCCGGCCACCCGTATCGAACTTCTCTTTCTTGTAATGTGAACAATGGTGTTTCTCTTGTCATGATTTCTATTTGAAATCGAGGCTCACAAAAAGCGGGCGTGACTCGCTTCCCAAGAATCTCGGTGTTAAGGTATTCGGTGGAGAGGTAAGATCATGGAATTTTTTTATATTTTTTTTTTGGTATTTCTTGATTTGGTGTTTTTATACGGTGAATGATGGTGATGCAGGGAGTGGTGCCTGGAAATATAATTGTACGTCAAAAGGGGGACACGTTTCATCCAGGAAATTACATTGAGATCGGAAAAGATCACACTCTTTATGCTTTAAAGGAAGGGTGCGTCAAATTCGAGCGTCCCAAACTGACTGGTCGAAAGTGGATTCATGTGGAGCCAAAAGAAGGTCATGAAATTCATCCGATTTATGCGACTGCTGCTGGAGTAGCTCCTATAGATGGAGACCACAACTTAAACTTTTGTTTTTGCTATAACGTTTCTTTTCAAATAATGATTTCGTACTCTGTGAAAGGGTGTTTGGCTAAGTCTATTTTAAACATGTGATATGTTCTGACATTTGATAAGCTGTTTGAAGAGCTGATAAGTTGCTACGTCTTTTTTTAATATCTTATAGAATGTCCATCAACTTATAATTTGAATCTTTAATATCTTTTAGAAAAACATTACCAAACTTATAAGATATTTTTACCCTTATAAGCTTAGCCAAACACCCTCTTAGCGACAAAAGGAAAATTTCTAAATGTACATTAATGTGTATAACTACTTGGAAACTCTTTCAAATTACAACTCATAATATACAACTAGAATGTTTTATTTTCCCTAATGATTTGTATTATGCACCGAGGTAATTCGGTATTCGAGAAACAAACATTGTTTCTGAGAAATCATCGTTTTGGAAATACGAAGATTCTTCTTTACACGGAACTCCATATTCGAATATTGTCCGTTTTTCCACCGCCTCCTTAACTCTCATCTCGAGATCTTCATCTTAGCTTAAAATTTATCCAATTTTCCACCATTATCTTATGCCTCGGTATTATTCTCCCTTGAAGCGAATAACTGAAAAACATATTGGATTATCAGAAGTCAGTATTCAATAATCGGAACCTACAAATTTCCATTACCTCGGAAACTCAATGAGCTCATCTCTCCTCAATGCTGCAAGCCATAAAAAAGTAATAAGGATTAATACTACTGTATTGGTTTAATTTCCGTGAAAGGTCCCATGGTCTAGTGGTCAGGACATTGGACTCTGAATCCAGTAACCCGAGTTCAAGTCTCGGTGGGACCTTTTCTCTTAATATATAGGGTAAAAAGCATTTTACCCCCTGGACTTTGGGGTGTTTTGCACAGCGCCCCCCCAGCTTACAAAATTTGGGTAAAAAGCATTTTACCCCCTGGACTTTGGGGTGTTTTGCACAGCGCCCCCCCAGCTTACAAAATTTGCACGTTTTTACCTAAACTTAGGTAGTTGTTGAACGACGCCCCCCTAACTTACAAAATTTGCACGTTTTTACCTGAACTTCGATAGTTGTTGAACGACGCCCCCTTAAGTGTCTATTTTTGAAAAAAAATAGCCTGAATCTCACACGTGCTTTGCACGTGTGAATCCAAGGTTTAATTTGCTTTTTCCTGTACACTTTTACCACTGTTCTACCTTTCCCTTTGTTACCGTTAGGAGATTCCTAATATTCCTCCCTTTATAAACCATTAGAAGCCCTAATTTTCTGTCCCTTCTCTATTATTGCCATTCCTCTTCTTGATTTGTCGTTGCTTCTTCTTCCAATTTCATGTTGATTTGGTTTCAGTTTCATTAAATAAAACAAAAGAAACAAGATTGAATTTTTTACCCGGTATTTGTCGCAGTTGGTGTATCTTCTTCATGGATTCAGATCAGTTCATGAAGTTTTCATGACTGGTCTTCTCGAACAATAGCACGTCGCGTCCATATGAAATTGAAACCAAATCAAGAAGATGAATGGCAATAATAGAGAAGGGACAGAAGGGCTTCTAATGGTTTATAAAGGGAGGAATATTAGGAATCTCCTAACGGTAACAAAGGGAAAGGTAGAACAGTGGTAAAAGTGTACAGGAAAAGGCAAATTAAACCTTGGATTCACACGTGCAAAGCACGTGTGAGATTCCGGTTATTTTTTTTCAAAAATAGACACTTAAGGGGGCATCGTTCAACAACTACCTAAGTTCAGGTAAAAACGTGCAAATTTTGTAAGCTGGGGGGGCGTCGTTCAACAACTACCTAAGTTCAGGAAAAAACGTGCAAATTTTGTAAGCTGGGGGGGCGCCGTGCAAAACACCCCTCTTTATATATGTGTATGTATATATGTGTATATATATATATATGTATGTATATACCGAGTGATATATATATATATATATATATATATATATATATATATATATATATATATATATATATATATATATATATATATATATATATCAATTAATGATAACAATAATGGAGAATTCAAAACCTTATTTACATTTATGGCCACACCCCGTCATTTGGAAAATATTGTAGCACGGGTGACAAATTGTGAGAATACACGTTTAGGCTGACTCAGTATTAGTTAATTTCAACATTAGTTGACACTTGACATCCTATTTTTTCTTTTCCTTTTTCCTATTGTAGATCGTCATAAACTAGTTAGCTGACTCACCATTAGTTAACTACACTCTATATAGAATTTGAACCCGTGACATCGGGTTTTGAAGGCCCCGCGTTCTACCGAACTGAACTAAAGCCGCTTTCTTATTTCTATTACTTGGCAAAATCGAAAAAAATGTAAAGAAGAGGGTTCTTTCTCTAACACTAATCCAGGATAAATATTAGTTTTAATATAATGACATACCCCTTAAAGTTTTTTTTTTTTTTCTTTCCACCACCAAACCTAATCTCTCACACGCATGTTCTCCTCATCCGTTGCCCCGCCGCCCTTCCACCTCCACTCAACCGTGATGGTAGATTAGGAGAAGAAGCTTCAGATCTCCGCCGTTGATTTTTGGGATCCCTACATGAGAACGCGATCTCTCTCAAATGTGAAACTCAATATGCTAGCCTAAATCTTTGAAAGGGCTTCGTTTTAGAAGAATAACATACCACAATCATGCCTTTACTGTCTAAATTAATCTAGAACCTTAGGAAAATTAGATACTACATCAAGTTATCTACATCAGTTGATAATTGACCATAGATCTACACATAATTACATACACGAATGCGTGTGTGCTTAGTGAATGTCACTGTTTAATCTTATCTACTTTTAACAAATACCAGTAGCATTTAATTTCCCTAGAACCTTGCCACTTCTTCAAACAAAATGTTGGTTGCATCTTGAATTTGGTCTGAAATTCTCAAAACTAAAAAGATCAATCTGTTGAGGAGGCTGTTATTCTATATATCTCATCTACCAAATTGCACTTTTATATGGATGCTCTTGCAACAAAAGTCATTTTCGAAGTCCTTGTTGATGAAATCCGTAAGTTTTGGGGTCTAAATGGAAATTTATTTTTTGGTCTAGGAACTCTATTTATTTTGGCTGCGCATGTTTAGCTAGTTGGGCACATTCCGTTAAATGGAAAGGGGTTGCCCCCCCCCCCCCCCCCCCAAAGGCAATCCCATTTATTGGTTTTGGGCCTTGCCCATTGGAAAACCCTCCCCCCTTATTTTTGCCTAAATCCAAATCAAAAATTTCCGAATTTATTTCCGAAATTTAATTGGATCCAGAATAAAAAAATTCCAATAGTTTTTATATAATTCCCATTTCCTTCCAAAAAAAAAAATCCATGAATATCCGAATCCAAATTTTGAGAATTGGAATGAAAAAATTGTCCAAAATCGGAATTTTCGAATTAGAACCGGCGGAATTTGGAAATCCGTTCGAACTTTCACCCCTGTTCGTGAAAATAAACATGATGATTATGTCTACTAGGATAAAACAATAACGGTAATTAAATACTCCCTGCGTTCCCTTTTAATAGTTGTTTTTAGCTTTGTACATGGATTAAGGATTTTAATAAATGTGTCTTGATTTTAGGAAATGAATGTTTTTAGGCTAAAATAACATTATCTTATAATTAATAAGAGAGATAAATTAATTAAAAAAAGTATTAGAAAGAGTTAATAAATGTATAAACTGAAAATTAAATAATTAATGTACTATTGAAAAATTAAAATAACAGATAATATAGAGAAAAAAAAATCTCAAAAGTAACAGATAATGTGGAATATATGGAGTAACTAGTTATCATTCATTAAAGAGGGGAAAAGAAATCTCAATACTAGTATTAGAACAACAGTAATTAATTATTCTGAAAATAATAAGTGTAAATTTGTACTAATATTAAAAACAACAACAACAACAATAGTAAATAGTAATAATAGCAATTGTAAATTAGGAGTAGAATCTATAATAGGTATTTTTGTATAAATAAATGGTGCTATTTAATGCCACCTCATTATTCCTTAGTATTTATTAATTATTATAATATATATTATATATGTTTGCTAATCCCAAGTTCAGTAGAAGAAGTAGTAAGCATATTTCCCTTTTGACTCTCTCTCCTCTCTCTCTCTCTCTCTCTTTCTCTCTCTAAAATGTAGTGTTCTTCAACCCATAATCATCTCTAACAGAAAATGGGCAAAGCTTGCAAATGGATCAGAGCTCTGTTGGGGGGCAAAAACCCCGACCCGAACCCTAGTCCGGGTCCGAGACCGCCGGGCAGTAAGAGATGGAGCTTCGTCATGTGCCGGAAGGAAAGGGATCGCCGCCGGAGATCCCAACACGGCGGTGGTGGTGGCTACGACGGCAACGACGCTAGCAGGCAAGCCATCGCCGTCGCGGCTGCCACCGCCGCCGCCGCGGAGGCTGCCGTAAAGGCGGCCCAGGCGGCCGCGGCGGTGGTTCAGCTGACGAGCTGCAGGTTGGGGAGTAGCAGCACTTCCGCGGCGGGAAACGGTGGCGGTTCCGTCGACTCCTACTCCTCCGCCGGCGGTCGAAATGGGCCGGGTTACGGCTGGAGCCGGGAGGAGCGGGCAGCCGTTGCGATTCAATCTCATTTCCGTGCTTATCTTGTAAGTCTCTGCGTGTGTGTGTGTGTGTGTGTTCATGTTAAACTTTAATAATTAAAAAAACAAATTAAATTATTTTTTGATGTTATTTTTTTTTCTTGGGGGAGGATCGGTAAATATATACCGTATTTCATGGAGATTTGGTTAAACGACGCCGTACTCCTCTTTCATTACCAAGTTTTATTGTGCAGAAGCTTTGGGATTTACACCGCCGGAGTTATTTTGGTATCTCGAGTTGTTGTAAAAAAAAGAGCAATTCTCGGATATATTATTCTTATATATTAATATTTAGTGTAAATTACGGCCACCACCCCTGAATAAGGGTTGAATTACGAAAAAACCCCTCTTGTTTGGCTAATTACAATTATCCCTCAAATATGAATCTTTTTACACGTCCATCTTTATAGTGTCAAATTCAACATAATCTTTTAAATTCTGTGAAATTTTCTTTAATTTGTACTCATTTTGTGAAGAAAAAAATGTTGTTTTTGTGCGCCACAATATGATATTTACAAGTCAAGAGACAAACATATCTTATAATCATCTTGTTTCAAAATATAGAGCTCGAATAGGATAAAACGGGTACAAACTGGAGAATATTCGACATAATTTAGAAGATTTCACTAAATTTGACACTGCAAAAGTGGACGTTTCATAGCTGAGGGAGGTGGTTGTAATTACCCAAACACAAGGGAATTTTTCGTAATTTGGCCTTAACTCATTGCTAATCCTAATTTATCATAATATTTATTTATATTTCACATTTACATACACACGTACATCTGTATCTAATATCTATATATACGTGTGTGCATGTAGGTATAGATAATAAAATGTGTTACATTACCTTGAGTGGGGGTGGGAGGGGTGGACCAAGGAAATCTAGCAAATAGTAGATTTGATATCAAATATACTTCTATTTCATTTTGCTGCCCAAATGTTTTTTGTCGAAAATTTAGCCAAAAAGTTCATTGGAGTAGTTTAAGTTACAAATAGCTTTTTGACTTTTTTTGTTCACATTTGCCAGACAGAGAGTAGTTAGTTTGTGGGTCTATTGCTAATTCATTCTTCCATCATCAATAAATAAATAAAATTAAAAAAAATAATAATAATAAAAATTGATTCTTGATTGTCTTCTTATTAGCATAATTAGTGAACTAATTATCATCATTAATTATGTTAGTTGTATATGATATTGCTAATTTGGTACCTTGTGGGCAAGGACTAATTCTTGAAAGTTACTTGTCTCCTTTTTTGGTTTAATTCTTATCTTTTTAGATACTTGTTCTGAACTTCTTGCTTACTTTTTTCTCCACTTTATTGCATCACTGTCTTGTCTTTTTACAATATTTCTAAAAAGTTTGAAATCTTTTTTGATTTATTAATTATGTTATTTTATTTTATTTTAATAGTAAAAATATATGATCTCTTATTTTTCCTTGTTATTCACTGATATTTCAATTGGAAAAAAAAAAAAAAAAAGGCAAGAAGAGCTTTACGGGCGCTGAAAGCGTTGGTGAAAATACAAGCAATGGTGAGAGGTCACATTTCGAGGAAGAAAGCTGCAGATGATCTACGACGGATGCATGCTATTGTGCGGGTCCAAGCAAGGGCTCGGGCCGGCCGAGTTCCGATTAATGAAGCCCGACATTCGACCGCCAATTCATCTCACTTCAGCCATTCAGTAAGTAATGCACCATTTTTTTTCTCATTATGAGTCTCCACTATTAGAGTAGAGATCTTTGGTTCGAATTTGATTTTTTTATTAAAAAAACAAGTATTTTGAAAATCTCTCGTATGTTTGAACTTGTAGGCACTGTCGAGTTGGGAGAAATTCGAGCAGAGAATACGGGCAGGTATCACAAAGCACGAACAACCGATGATGCTCAAGGTTCTCTCTCTCTCTCTCTCTCTCTCTCTCTCTCTCTCTCTCTCTCTCTCTCTCTCAAATATGAACACACAAATCCGTGCTAATAAATGCAGAAAAATGGCTCGAGATCATGCGAAAGATCAGAAAGATCATGGGACGAAGACGAAAGAAGCGACAAGATTCTCGAAGTAGACAGCAGTTTCAAACCAAACCCCACACCCAAAATCAAGAACAGCAGGATCTCCCACTCTCGCCACCCGAAATTACCAATCAGCCCCTCGTCGTCCAACGAGGTCCGATCATTAAGCCGCCTGAAATTCGAACAAGACGACGCAGCAGATGACATCAGCAGCAGCAGCCATGCCCTAACTTCCGATAACTGCCCGTTTGTTTACTCCGCCTCGCCCAGCTCCAAAACAGCTCTTTTCACACCTACCAAGAGTGAAGGCTCGGTCAGCTGTCTTAGCGGTTACTCTGAAAACCCTAATTATATGGCTTATACGGAATCTTCGAAAGCCAAGGCCCGGTCTACGAGCGCTCCTAAACAAAGGCCCGATCAGCAGTACGAGAGATCGAGCTCCACGAGTAGATATTCTGTCCACGTGTCTGGCGACTATGGCGGTGGCGGTGGCGGCGAGAAGAGAGCTAACAAAGCTTATCCGGGCTCGGGCCATTTGGACAAGCACGGAATGCCCGTTACTAGAGATGTTTCGAGTTTCAGTGGTGGTCTTTGGGTGAGATATTAGTGTAACTTAATTTAATTTAATTTTTTTTTTAATGATTATATGATGTAGATCAAAGTTGGTCTAATCATATAAACTTCCTGGATTAGATGCTAATTCAGACGGGCGTAATAAAAAATCGAAGCCCGCAATTAAATGCTGCTATTCAAGAAAATTAACAATGGCTCTTCTTATACGGTACGTTTGTATAAGTGGCGATTCAAAAGAAAATTACACACCTTGTCATAAAAAAAGAATTCTCTATATATATGTTCAATACAAAGAAAATCGACAGAACTTATCGATGTCAATTACTATGCATGTACACAATGAAGCATATATACTACAATAAATTTTGTACCTCGAAAAAAATATATGAACTGTTGATATTCGACGGTGCGAGAGAAAAAAAAAAAAAAAAAGATATAAACTGATGCGAAATCGAAATCAGTTATTACAGCTCCATCTCGATGTAGGCACGCAGCTCAGATAATGGCACCAGCTACATTTATCGTTCCCGTTTTCTCCCTTAAACAGCATTACCAATCCCACCGTGAATCTACATAATTTCGAGGGCATAAGAGTAAAAAAAATCAGTTTTTTTTTTTTTATTAATAATAAATCAAGAAACAAGTTAAAACTCATAAATGTGATAAAAACACACACATCCATGTTGGTGTGTGTGAAAAATTATGTCTTTACTCACCGAACGTAACATGATTCAACCCTAGCCAAAGACTATTTTTTTTTAAGTAAGACGTATATTATATATCTGAATTGCATAATCGATACGATATACGAGGTACATAGTGCGAGATTAAACGATAGATAAAAAGAAAGCTTACCCGACAATAAGAAGAACAATAGCCACAACCAAGAAAACATATTGGTAAGCCGTGTACTTGGACTTCATCCTATTATGAGCTGCCAGGTGGCGATTCTCCAGCCAACCGAATTGGGGTCGGACCAAAAGTATAAATCCGAGGAGGAAGCCACTCATAAACCCTCCAATATGTGCAAAGTTATCGACATGCGGAAGAATTCCAACGGCCAAGTTTATTGCGATTATCACAATCAGCGTAAAAAGAGCCGCAGCCTATTATTATTATACACGAAGATCTTAGTTAGTAAAAACGAGACTAAAAAATAAATCTTTTTTTTTTTGGAAATTTCAAATTTGAATTAACCTTGTTGGTATAAATGGTCCAATTAGTAAATAACTCGGATAACATTGCTCCGAGAAGTCCGAATAAAGCACCCGAAGCTCCAACGGAGATATTCCTGTGTATAAAAAGGGACGAGAGTACGCTCCCTCCGATACCCGATACTAGATAAATTGCCCCTATACGCACTGCACAAACACACGTTTCAGAATAATAATATATTAAATGTTCGAAGGTTATAAATAATAATTAAAAAAAAAAAAAAGAAAAAAACGGTAAATTACCAAATCCAAATTGCTGCTCTAGGCGAATTCCGATAAAGACCAAACTCAGCATGTTTGCAAGTAAATGTACGACACCGGCATGCAGCCATATACAAGTAATAAGCCTCCACGCTTGATTTCCGTGAACTATTTTGTCCCATTCGAGCGCTCCCAGTTTTTCCAATCTGCACGAGCATATATATAATTAATTAATTTATTTATTTTCCGGTACGAAGATGACAATCTTGATTCCATTTTTTGCGACGGGCACGAAAAAAGTATACTTAACAACCATTCAAGAAACTTAGACATTTCCTTTTCGATAAAGGTGCCATTTTTTTTTCAAGAAACCGAATAAATGCTCATGAAAAACTAATGTTTTTTTGAAAAGGAATTTGTTGTCTACATTATACGAGTCTCGAGCGTATTTAATGTTTCTTTTCTTACATTATCATACGACATTCGAATGGCTAATAGACGATGCCGCTAAAACAGAACTCGAAATTCTATCAATTAATTGCACAACCCAAGATAGAAAACATATTATTATGTCGAGACTTTCACCAAAAAATAAACGAAAAACGAAAAGCAACGTCGAGGGATAATAAAAGTTCAAACACCTCATGTTATATCTAGTTGACACACTCTACAACAAAATAAGAGGGAGACAATTGTGGACTTAAACTGTTAAGTAAATTAAGGCCTCGTTTGGTTGCCAAAATAAGATTAAACAATCTAATGAAATCCAACTATATCATTTGACCTTCGATGATCCAATAAAAAAGACATGGCTAGAAGGCAAGATAAGCCATGATAACATAATATTTGCGGGTCGACCCGACAAGTTATTGGAGATACCAAACATCAAACAAATTCCTATAATTTAGTTAATCATGGCTAATCTCCCCAACCAAATGAGGCCTTAAGAATGTAAGAAACTGCATATCCCCCAAAACCAAAAAGTCAACCATTCTTATACAACAAATTAATCCCCAAAAAATATTTTAAAAAACAAAATAATTTATAAATAGAAAAATCAATCAAATTAACCCAAAGAAAACAAGTGCACAAGAACCCCTAAAAATTGGAAGAAAAAAAATCAAGAAATCAACAAAAATCAGCAAATGATGAAAAAAAAAATAAAAAAAAAATAAAAAAAAGAAAAAGAAAAATTACGTTGAGGAAGAGGGGCCGAAGAGGGGGTTTTCTTTGAGGGGCTGAAAAGAGAGGCGGCCGAGAAACTTGGCGACGCAATCGCCGCCTTGAAATCCGTTATTGTGATTCTTTGGGCAATTGTTGACGAACATGATCGCCGCAAACATCCCAACGTTTGCCACAACTATCATCGGCACAAGCCACGATGTCCACTGACTCTCCGAATATTCCATGTGGTATGTTCCTCCTCCTCCTCCGCCGCCGGCGTAGTAATTAGTCTGTGGGTAGCTGTGGTTGCTTCTGTTCTTCGTTCCCCTCTCCGGATCTCCATTTCCCATCATTCTTTCTTTACACACTGTGTGTATGTATCTGTATGTATATGTCAGTGTGTGTGTGTATGTGTGTGAGAGAGGGAAGGGTGGGGTTAAGGAGAATTCAAGAATTGGGGTAGAGAGAGAGAGAGATTTAGGGAGAGTGGGGATTTATCTGTAGATTGCTTTGTATTTATGATTTGGTTATTTATTCACCCAAAATGTAACTTTCCTGCGTCTTTTCATATTCCAAATTCTAACGTCATTTTTATTATTTTCCATTTTCCTTTTTTTTTTTTTCTTGAGTAAATTACGTTTGTGTCAAATTACGAAAAAAAATTGCTAATGTTTTGGTAATTACAAGCAAAGAGACACATCTTATGATCATCATATTTTGAAATGAGAAGCTCGAATGGGGTAAAACGGGTATAAACTGGAGAATATTTCATATAATCTAGAAGATTCCACTTAATTTGACATCGTAAGGGTAGACGTGTAAGACTATTCATAGTTGGGCGAGGTGGTTGTAATTACTCAAGCATGAGAGGTTTTTTCGTAATTTAACCTTACCTAGGACCTAGGGGCTGACCGTAATTACTTATTTTTAGAAAATAATAATAATAATAATAATACAATCTCAACTTAGTTATATTAAAATTATGAACTTCAAAAAATCTACTCAATATTCAAACATAAGATTTAGGTATATATGACTATGTGAGATTTCCTTTGACATTAATCAATCCATTTAATGAGTCATTGTATGAATATATTTATTTATATATATATACGTAACAATGAGACCATATATTATAAATTATAAATTATAATAAAATCACAAATGAAGTTATATCCATATAATATTCTCACTCATAAGTTCATAATCATTTGGTAGTCATTAAAAAAAATATTTTGACTAAAATAATTAAATAGTGGCAAGTAAGTATTGCTTGAAAGTAATACGTTTGACCTATTGACCATCCCTAGTCCAAAGTCCAAACTTAAAGACTATTATTTCAAATCAACTAAATAAATTCCAATTTAATTATCAAAAAAAAAAAAAAAATTCCAATTCAAGAGCGGCAATTGCAGGCTTTGAGGCATTGTAGTTCACATCAAAAAGATTTAAATGATGAAATTGATTTCTTATTATAAGAAAATTTATATAATATTATTCTAGTCGCAAAATTGAAGATAAAAAAAAAGATTGAAAAATAACATCTTATAATTAAAAATTACAAATATGAGTTATGACATTAGAATTTCTTAAATTTTTCAGTATCTATTACTTTTGTATATGAGATAAACACCCACGGGCCACGTCATGATGATGTGTATCAAATATGGTAGAATTTATTTATTTATTTAACAACACAAGGGAATGGAATTAAATTAAATTAAATGTAGGTTTTTGTTCTTGTTCACTAGGACCTACGGCAAGGACACGGAATTCGGGTGTGCTATTGCCTTCAAACTGCTCCACCTTACCTTATTATTATCATCAAATATTTTCAAATGTGTATTGATTTTAGAAAATATATATTAAAAAAACTAAAATAACCTTGATCATTTAATGTTGTGATAATTAATAATTTAATACTTATAGTTAAATTAATAAGGTTAAAACAAGAAGAAAAAAAAAATGTCTTCTGCAATCTAAAAAAAAGCTCTCAAAAGATGAAATTGCTTTCATTATTTAAAAAAAAACAATATTGACTGTGTTATAATGATTATTGTGTTTTAAAAGTGCAAAGTGCTATTAAATTTTGTCAGCGTAAAATATAAAATGTAAAATTTTAATTACTCATTTGGTGTCTATTGTTTGACCTGATTTTAGTTTTTGTTCCCGCCGTTTCAAGGTGGACAAAATACAAATTAAAATATCGGTTTTCGATAGATTTAGTTCATTCCGTCCCACGTCTTAGCAACTAATGAAAAAGTATCACGTCCAACGCACGTGACCCCCAATTTGTATAAATCAGGCTAGAAAGAGGGATAATTACTCTTTTGGTCTCTAATATTTCACTCAACTTTAGTTTTAGTCCATGTTGTTCTAAGTTGGACAAAATACATAGGTGTTTAGCAATCACCACGATTGTGTAATATCTAATTGTTGAAAAATTCCCATGTCTAAAAAAATTAGCAAAGCCTCCTTCAGACACCGGCGACGCGCTCAAGCTCCAAACAAATATGTGAAGCTCTTTCGCATCACGAGCACCTTTTCTTCCAAGTTGGGCTGATGTGTTTTCCCCGTTTTGGAGTAGGGTAAGAAATCGGCGAATTCTATAGATTGGCATCGGAGCACCCATACCCCCGACGACGTACATCGATTCTTGGCTTGCTACCCACGAACGCCAAATTCAGGATCAGTGGATCAAAACGAGATGGTTTACGTGGAATTTCCTCAACTGCCCTTTTTGGTGGGGATGATCCCGTTGGGGTCAAGGATACAAATAATATGATTTTTTGGAAAAGATTTACAAAGAAAAACTTGTTTTTTGCTTACTCTTAAGTTTTCGAGTTATAACTTAGAGGTGATGAGTGAAACAAACCGTATATTTTGTTCCTATCAATGCCAACGAACATGGGATGGAGTGGACAAAATACGTAGAACAATTGTAGTCCAACGTAACCTTTAGAGCATAACAAAAACTTAGATGGTATTTGCAAATGCTTTTAGAAATAGACTATGAGATTTTTTTATTTTTTTTTCTGCACATGCTCATTTATTTAGGTATTTGCGAAACAAACTTTTGCTTTCGATTCTCTTAAAATAAGTTGCTTTAAACTATAAATTTAAAATGAACCATTTACCAGCTTTTTCTAATTTAGTTTATTTTCAAGTTAATTTACAAACACCCCCAACTTTTAGAAATAAACAATTAATTCTAACTTAACTCACAATCACTAACTTCTACTTTTAAAAAAGCTTTGCAAAAAACCACGTG